TATATATATATATATATATATATATATATATATATATATTATTTTTATTTTTATTTTGTTTTTTGAAATTCCAATTAGACTAAGGAGGTTCATGGCCCAAAGGTGGCCCAAAAAAAATCGTGGGCTTCGATCTTGACTTTGCCCAAGGAGTTCGGTCCATTAATGTCCTAGGAAGTGTTTTGGCCCAATTAAGGGGATTTCGGCCCAAATAGGTCCCAAGTATTGGTTTTCGGCCCTATGAAAATCAGGTAAGAACTTTTGGCGCATTAAGGGGCCCAATAGTGGTTTTCAGCCTTACAATGCCCATTAGAGGGTTTTCGGCCCAACACGACCAAAAGGAGGAGTTATCGGCCCATTAGGACCCAAATAAAGAGGTCTTGGTCCAATAAAGGTTTTGGGTCGAAAATTCTTGAGCCAATGTCCAAAATTGATTGGACTTGGTTTATTGGATTGAGTTTTGGGCTTGTACAAGGTTGTCTTGACTGAAATCATTTTGCATAACTGTAGGTACTTAATAGCATTAAAGTTTGATTTTCACTAAAATAAATGACGCTAGGTCACACAAAGGAAATTATCTTGTACAAGGATCAACATCTTAGTCTTAATTTGCTAGTTGTGACGTAACTCCATATCCTCGTCAAGATAGAACAACCCACTCTTAAAAAAGTGTATATTATAGCACCCAACTTTCATTTTTTTTCTATTAGACATTCTAATTTTAAGTTCTTTTCCTATAATACATCATACTTTGAAAAATTGTCGGTTATTATATTTTTACTAATCGATGATTATCTTTTAGGCTAGCTATAAATGGCATAAATGTAAAATCGGAGTGTATACTAAGTTGGGGTTTCCTAATGATTACTGTTGAATTAGATTTTTTGATGACATGTTTCAAAATAAGCTTTTATAGAAAAGGTTAATGCTAAAATCACCAAGAAAATAAGTTGTTCGATTGTTGTGGATTAGAGCAAATGTATTCAGCTTGCATTAAAACCATAATCTACTACACTATGTGACAATGGGCATTTTGACCTCAATGATAATTCATTTTGTCAAATGCAAAAGGGTTAAATATAGGAAACATCAACGTACTATCATTAGTCTGTTTATTATCATTTATTCTCTATTAAAACATCTTAGTATTGTATTGATGCCTATATGAACAAATGCATGAAGATGAAGGATTCTAAGTGGGTGGAACACATAATACTTAATTTCCTTGAAATTAGAACCTAAAACTAAAAGACAAATTAAAGATGCAGAATTATGATAAACTGTCCCATATTAGATGTTCAAAGACTTGCAAGTCTTAGGAATTTGTATTTATTATCAAAATCTTTTCCAAACTAGTGATATTTTCCAAGACTTAAAAAAGTGATGTTATCAGAATTGTTAAAAATGGGCTACACAGAAGGTAATTCATGGTCTGTGCTAGAAGGCCCAAACATGCTCCTCGTCTGTGATATTTTTGCTATCTATTTTGATACATTTGATGTTTGTCAAATATAACTGTATGATATAATTCCATTGGTGTTTATGTTCAAGCTAACTTGTTTTTTTGTTCTTTAAAAAAAAGACACAAAAAAACAAAAACAAAAACAAAAAAAAAAAATCCGTTTCTTTAAAGCTTTCTTTACAGCTTTCTACACATCAAGGTGTAAGTCTTCTACACATTACAGAGCCCACCTTGATTGAATCCATACAGGTAATATATAGTCTCTATGAAGATGAATGATCCTAAGTTGTCGGCCTTAAATTGGTGGCCACTTGTGTGGGTACAATATAATTGGTGGCCACTTGTGTGGGTACAATATTTCTGTACAATACTTAATTTCCATGACCCAGACTATAAGAAAATCAAAGATGGAGAATTGGAATTAATTGTCCCAAATTAGACGTTCAAAGACTTACAAGTCTTGGCAATTTGTATTTATTACATATATTTTTTCCCATCTTCTAATATTTTGCAATTTGTATTTATTATCTATATTTTTTTCTCATCTGGTGATAATTATTTGGTATGTGATATTTTTAATAAAGAATTGAAAATATGGCGCATTAGATCATTCTTAAGACCAACAAAGAAAAACCAGATTTAGCTATTTAAACAAATTTGGAACTTTGTTAGGAAATTATAAACTTGAGAAGCTATGTAGTTTAGTTGATGGCTAGGCTAATTGCTTTGATTTTATATATGGAATCATGTATCTTGTATTCTGCCAGTTGTGCATTAGTCCCTGTATCTTGTTATAAATATGCAATTTGGGAAAAAAATCATTGCTTGTTTGTGGTGTCCATTTGCAATTTCTGGCAAGCAGTAAATATTCCTCATTACAATTATTCTTAGATTTACGATTATGCTAAAATTATATCTATGTGATTGATCATTCACAACAAACTAAATGAAACCAATGAAACCAATTTCACAGAAAGGCATTTAGAATCTTCAAATAAAATCTTCGTGAACAGCAACGAGCAAACAAACAACGACCTCCTACAGAATCTATGCAAAAAAAATATCATGATAGAACACATCAGCAAAAATACCTCTTGAAATCGGAATGTTAAATAAATCGGAATGTTGTGAGTAGCAACGACCGGCGATGGGTGGCTGAGCACGGTGGCAGCAGGTTGAGAGAGGGAGAGATGCGATTGGTGATGGGTTTGAACGGGATACCTCTAATTTGGGGAGGAAGTACAGTTGGGTTATGTGGATTTACTAATTTGCCCATGATAAAACATTGAAACAAACGTTATGGCTTAAGTGCAATTCATTAAACCATTCTATTTTTTTTTTTTTTTTTTGTACTAAAAAACCAAAATAAAACAAATTAATTCTTTTTTTTTTTTAGAAAGAGCTGGTACAAGACTAAGGTAAATAAATATTTATTAAGGGGTAATAATTTTCAAAGCCTCAAAACATGGTGATAATATTATTATAAGAAAATTAGCAAATATATGTCATCAAAATCTAAAAATTGCAGCTAAAATATTTATAATATAGAAATTATATTATAATTAAATTTTCAAAACAATTAAAAATAATATTTTATTTTTGTTGTTGAGTTTTCAAAGATAATTGTGTACTTTTAATATATTTTTTCAATAATCTTTTATATTTTGCTACGGAAACATATTTCGTAACTACTTGACTACAGAATTTTTCATAGCTAAATACCTACGGATTTTGATTTCGTAGCTATTTTGCAAATTCACCTTTTTGTAACAAGTTCCATAATAGATTAGCTACAAAATTTTATTTTGTAGCAAATTTTCCTAGTAAAATAGCTACGGATCTCAATTTCATAGCTAACTAGCTACGTATTTTTATTTCGTAGCCAATTATGTAGCCAACTAGCTACATACATGCATGGATTTTGTAACAAGTTTCTTAGAGAACTAGCTACAACCAAAAAACTTGTAGCGTTATTTGTAGTAAACTAGCTACAGATTTTAATTCCGTAGCAACTATTCAAGATTTAGCTACGAAATGAAATTCTGTAGCCATTTTCGTAGCAAATTAGTTACAACCAACCATTTTGTAACATATTATGTACTAAAATAACTATGAATTCAGATTCCGTAACAACTTTACGTAACTATTTAAGATTTAGCTACATATGCAATTTTGTAACCATTTATGTAGCAAAATAGCTACGACAAGTCGTTTCGTAGCATATCCTGTAGTAAATAGCAACGGATTTTGATTCCATAGTAACTTTCCGTAGTCATTTAGGATTTTTCTTGTAGTGGAATACTTTGTTTTTTTTTTAATTTATAGTTTTAATCGTCAAATCATGTTTTATTTTGTTTAATGATATTTTTTTTATATTACTTTATCTTATTTTTTTATTGCGTCAGTTTTTCATAATTGTATATGTATTTTTTTTTATGTTTCCCGCGTTTAACACGGGTCATAATCTAGTAAATAGTTAGATACCAGATTTTATATTTTACTGATTACCAACACTAAAATAATATAAAAATATATATCGTTGAATCAAAGACATTTAACATTAAAAAAATGAGTTTTAAAAAATGAGACTATCCTTCACAAAAGCCGTCAATTTCATACGATCAAAATTACTAATAATAGAAAAACTTCGAAAAGGATTGGAGAAGTCGCTAAAAGATGCGCCTATACTTACAGATGGATCAACCAATTTTTCAATATGTCCACATTTTAATTTCATTAATGTATACGTAACTACTAGCTACAGAAAATATCCCACATTCGAAAAAAGCCAAAATATTTATCGCTTAAATTCACACGCAATGTCCGATCCTTTTCCTGTTACAAGACAAACGCCACCAGATTCCATCTTAGTAGTTTCATTTCGATACACTCCGTCGATCGATCGTGGGAATGGAGACTGTCTCCTGCTGCTCCATAAATTCGCATTCATCGTTCCACAGGTATACCAATTTCCATTATCATACTAAATCCATCAAATCCCGACCAAGTTTCATCGTTTCCGTATTCAAAACACCAATTGCCCGAAGAAGTCGAAAAGAAGAAAACCCGCCTAATGTCGAGTCCAGAAACACGTTACTCGAAAAAGTATTTAAAATACTTGACAAAGTTATTGTGGATTTTCTCGATCCTCCACTTCACTTATCTATTGACGCGAACTATATTTTATCTGATAACTTCGCACCGGTCAGTGAACTGAGTCCGACCGAGTGCGATGTCATACACGGTTCCATACCTGCATGTCTTAATGGGGTTTACATACGTAACGGACCGAACCCACAGTTCCACCCTAATGGTCCACACCACTACTTTGATGGTGATGGGATGGTCCACTCGATTAGGATTTCCAACGGTCGAGCCACTTTCAATAGCCGATACGTGAAGACCAACAAGTACCTAATCGAGCACCAGCATCGATCCCACGTTGTCCCCAATGTCATAGGAGGGACACGTGGGATCGGCCCGTTTATGGCTCGTGCAGCAGTATTCGCTGCACGAGTTATTTTTGGGCAGTATGATATTATCAACGGAATAGGCGTTGCCAATACAAATGTATCGGTTTTGGGGGGGAAAGTGTATGCCTTATGCGAATCCGATATTCCTTATGCAGTCAAAGTTAAAGATGATGGAGATGTAATAACGTTAGGCCATGACGACTTTGGTGGGAAGCTTTCCAAGAACATGACGGCTCACCCGAAGATTGATCACAAGACAAAGGAGGCTTTTGCGTTTCGTTACTGGGCCACAAAGCCGTATCTTACTTACTTCCGGTTTGATTCAAATGGAAATAAGCAGCCGGACGTTCCCATCTTCTCCATGGAACACCCTTCTCTGACACATGACCTGGCTATCACCCAAAAGTATGCAATCGTCTGTGAGACTCAAATTGGCGCGAGTCCCATGAACCTGATCCACGGAGGTCGGCTAGTCGGTGTAGACTCTACAAAAGTTCCGAGAGTCGGTGTTCTTCCAAGATATGCGAATGATGAGTCGGATATGAAGTGGTTTGAGGTGCCTGGATTCAATATATTTCATGCCGTGAATGCATGGGATGAGACGGAGGAAGATGGCAGCGAGGTGGTGGTGCTGGTGGCACCCAACATATTGTCGGTGGAACACTTTTTTGATCGAGCTGATCTGATCCATGGATCCATGGAGAAAGTGAGGATTAATTTAGGAACTAGGATTGTGTCCAGGAAAACTTTGTCATCAAACAGCTTGGAGTTTCCTGTGATCAATCCAGCCTTCATCGGTAAAAAGAACAAGTAAGAAAAAACTCTTCACTTGTAATACATATTATTCGAATCAGCAGTCTTAAGAGAATAACCGGCCACTATCCAGGTACGTTTACGCAGCAACCTCAGAGCAATCTCCGGCAAAATGTAGGATGATGAGGGCATCAGGGGTGGCAAAACTAGACATTGCAGCAACGGAAGAGAACAATGAAAGAGATGAGTGCACAATAGCTAGTCGGATTTATGGAAATAATTGCTTTGGAGGTGAGCCGTTTTTCATTGCCAGAGACCCAGAAGATCCGAACATGGAAGAAGATGATGGGTATGTTGTGTGTTATGTGCATGATGAAAGCTTGGGGGTGTCGAAATTCTTGGTGATGGATGCCCGGTCGCCGACTCTTGAAGTGGTTGCGGAGGTGAAACTGCCGCAAAGAGTGCCTTATGGTTTACATGGGATATTCATTAGGGAAAAGGACCTCAATGAGATGTGAGGATCTAGTTGGATTAATATATGTCTTTTTATGTTGAAACTTTAATCCCTATTTTTAAATTAGAAGAAATGATTAAGATAATGATTAGATTTAGTTGTATTATCCAACTTCACTGGATCTTCAAAAGTGAATTATACGTTCATTTTATATATATTCTTATTGTCCGACTATATCAATTTTTTGATTATTGAATAGTTCATAGTTACTCATCAAATTTGGTGGGTTGCCCATATAGTCTCTTCATATATGTTGGGATGATAGTTATATTTAATATTAAAAGCATGGATTATCTATCTTTCTAATAAACAAAATCTAAATTTATCATTTATCACTCTATTAAACAATATATTGTACCTATGACATCTTTTCCAAAGTCTATTTGTTTGACTTTCAAATTTCAAATATCTTAATATTAAAGCAATGTCAAACTTGTTAAACTTATTTAAATTTAAATCCTCTTACATTTGGCTATATCAAAATCTAAAATTCGACAGACAATGTAATTTCATATTCCTAATATTAAGAAAGATATTAGACAATATACCATAAATAAATCAACATCATTGATTTTTATTCTTCAAAATCAAATTTCAACAATTTATTTATGGAACAATTACTTTCAATTCGAATATTATTATCCGTGTTTTTATATTTTCACCTATTCCACATGAATAGCTTATATATACACTTTGTATAGCCTAAAATTTTTAATATTCATTATTTTGGTACCTTGATTGAATATTATTTAAAATTTCTATACATTTAAAATATTATTTATACATAAACATTATAAGCTTACCAATCAATATACATACAATATATAAAATATTTGTTTGCAACTTATTGTTAAATAAACTATTATTTTATTATTTAAACTAGATTATGACCCGCGTAAAACGCGGGAGAACATATAAAATTGTAAATATAAAGGTATAAAAAAGATGGCACTACAAAAAAAAAGATAAAGTAACAGAAACAGACTTAGCATTATCGGTAACATTGAAATGTCTGAAAAGAAAAACAATTAAAACCTGAATATCTATAATCATTGAAGGACCTCTTTGTAGATATAACTTTTTGTTTTATTAGTTGGACAACCTTCCTCGTCATATATGAGTACCTTCTGTCCTTTTTCACTTGTGACGTTAGAAACAAAAAACATATAACTGACAATGAGTGAAGACAGGCCTACGCAAATATAATTCAACATTTGATAATTATTGTCATTGACTTTTGTTAATGGTCATAACAAAATAAACAACTATGGGGAATTGCCTCCGCAGAAAACGGAATGAGATTCTTTTATTAGATGGGGTTAACTTCATGCAAGGTATATAAGTAGTCTCGTTGAAATCTAACATATATGATTCAGGCTTTAGTGACGTGTCTTCCAAGTCT